CCCCCCCCCCCCTTTTAAACACAGCTTCAGACTCTGCCAACCCCCCCCAAGTCTCTGAGGTTAGAAAATGCTCTTTTGTGGGACAACCTCTACCCCCCCACCCCCCGCCAAGCCGGTCCCAGGGTGGGGCAGCTGCCCCCAAATCTCTCCTCCAGGAGCAAATACAGTCACCAGTGCCCCCCAGGTGTTCAGTCTGCCCAAGCCCGGGCACTAACATCTGCCCCTTGCTGGGGCGGGTCCAGCTGTCCTGGGTTGGGAAGTCCCGGGCGGTGCCCGCCTATCTGTAGCTCCAGAGGGGCACCAGGCCGCGGGTCTCCTTCTCGTAGACGTCGGGCACGGGGCCGATGGGCGAGGGCACCATGCGCACCGTGTTCTTGCCGAAGAGCCGGCGCTCGTAGTCGATGAGCTGGCGCCAGAAGCCCACGTTGGGCCGCACCACGGGCCGCCGGCTCTTCACCCACTGGTGGGCGTCGAGCAGGCTGAGCCGATGGTACTTCATGAGGTAGGCGATGCAGAGCGAGGCCGAGCGGCTCACGCCCGCCACGCAGTGCACCAAGGTGCGCCCGTTGCGCTTGCCCGTCTGGTGGATGCGGTCGGCCACCGAGTCGAAGTAGAGGCCCAGGGGGGCGTGGGGCAGGTCGGGCACCGGCACCTTGACGTACTCGATGTCGGGCCAGTTGGCGTTGGGGATCTCCATGGTGGCGTTCACCACGCAGGTCACCGCCCGCGCCGACACCAGGGGCCGGTTGGCGGCCGCGTTGCCGCTGCACAGGTAGAGGCAGGGCGAGATCTGGGCGATGCCCCCCAGCGCTGACAGCGGGGGGGCCCCGGGGGCCGGCTTCGCCGCGGGGGGCGGGCTGCGCCGGAAGAAGCCGGGGGTCCGGAAATTCATGGTGGAGGCTTCGGCGTACATGGGGGACGGCTGGGGGGAGAGAAAAGGGGGGGTGTTAAGAGAGGGGGCTCTGTGCCCCAGGTCCCAGCCCCCCACAGCCAGTACCTGCCCTGGGGCTGGATCCCCCCTGGAGGGCCCAGGC